GGGGCGATAGGGTACTGGTGACCGAGTTAGCCCCTAAATGCCCATAATCTACAGTGTAATGTGCAGGCACAATTTGAAGCCAGCTGTGGGTAAGGTAAACCGCTATTTTGCGTTGCACTACTGACATATTTGTGAGTAGCATCACTAGAAATGTGACCATAGAGCGCGCGCGAAGCGACAAGCAAACAACAGGAACAACACTGGTGAAAGACTAAAGACCGATCCGGTTCGAACGGGTGCGTCGAATGAAGCCAAAAAGCAGGGATACAGTCAGCGGCCACATACACAAATACGAAACGGCTTTGTGTATTGGACAGCAATCGGGTACGGAGCCAAATGAAGTGGACGGAAAAAATGTGCATCAGGCATCAGGAAACATTTGTACACTGGGCAGCGACTTCGCCGGATTGCGCAGTACTGCCATCTGGGGCAACCGCAGAATTGTCTGACAGTTTAGGCGGAGAACCGGACTCCTCTGTAATCTCGGATAGATTCGTATTACGAACTGTACGTGAATAAGCCGGCCGTATGAATGTCTGGGCTGAGATCGCGGCGGGCGGCGGTTGTGCGCCCGGCAGTGTGAGAGTGGATGGAGGCGACGTGGATCGGACAGTGGAACTGACAATTCTTTGCATAGAATTCGCTTCAGAACCGATTCGACTGACTTCCAGGAGGCCTCTAGATCCGGGCGGGGATCTGGGACGAATGCGTATGGGTTCTGTGCTCTCTGGAAGATTACCAGAAGATGAACGCTTAGGGATGGTTGCACCGGATGTGGAATCGGACGTGAGTGGACTATCCGTTGATCGATTATTCGGGTTCAATGAGAACGGGAGTAGAGCGGACACTAGGGAAGTGAGAGAGAACGGTGAGCTGAGTCCGATTCGTTCACCATGGGACATCCAGTCGGTCGGATAATGATCTGTCAGCCCGGTGTGACGACCGGTCGATGGATAACCAGACAGTGCCGGAGAGCGGAATTTGCGCGTACTGNCATCGCCCAACAAATGAGACGGTACACTGGATCCAAAACTACTGAAAACGGAAACGGAGGATAAATTCAAGCAACGTTCACAAAGCGGACGGCATAAAGCGAACTGAAAACCACCAGTGACATCAGAAAACATTAGTAAAATAATGGGNGAGCGTGAGAGGTTAGCCAAATATCGGTGTTTGTGTGTGTAATGAGGCGCGAAAACATGACCACATGATCACGTCACAATGAGGATACACAAGGCAAACGAGTGACAGGGTCGTACTATCACCGAGGTTTAGGCGGAACTAAAACTAAAGTACATTAGAACGAAACTTTTGAAGTGCTCTTATGAGAACCGTCTAAGGGAAGATGAAGGCTTAATTAAATGTATAAAAATTCGCAAGCTAGACACTCTTTGTAGGTGCCATCAGAAAGCGGTCTACCGGAAACCAAAACATACATTGAGGGTCGAAGATTAAACTAAAGATCACACAGGTGAGAGCTGACCCATCGCGAGTAGCATAAATCGTTTCAGAACATGGCCAAAGTAAAGACGAGCAACGAACGGCATCGAAGTTTAAACCTGCTTCCGCTAGTGTACCTATACGTGCTTATGAGATCTTGAAAATGTTAACAACTTGAATGTACTATGTGGAACCGAATCAAAAGGGTTCGAGAGTTCCTCAGCTGCTACTTTCTGGGGAATCGTGAGTTCGATTGAAACCGACAACGGCTCTGTGTGTGTGTGTTGCATGAGTGTCTGGAAGAAGAGCTAGGACACCTCGACTTGTCCGGCGAACAGCCAGAGAGAGAGAGAGAGAGAGGATGATTCATGGTGTAATCGAACTCCCGTACTGGTTTGCTTCCAACACATCGCACACACAAGTTAGTCGGTAAAATGAAATAAAGAGAACCTATGGCCAAACAGCAAAGCGATGATGACTATCACCAGAAGAGGAAATGGAAATACCTATCGTACACAAGGGAAGTAGGAAGAAATGGATTCTGGATAATGAGGTGGAGAGGTTGTGGAAGGGGCGAGGCGGTCTAGTAGCGGATACACCTAGGATACACCTACTAGTTCAACGGTTTGAGGACGAAACAAAGCGTAAAGTATAGAGCAAGCCGATGAAGTGCTATATCATACCTGAGAAGGAACGAGGGGCGGGGCGGGGCGGGGCGGGGGGGGGGGGTATGTGCGTAGGAATCGTCGTGTAGAGAGCGTCCGCATGCAAGTGCACATGGATGGAGGAGAAACAGTGGGGAAGGTAAAAAACACATAGACACACAGGAGTGCGCATGAGCTCAGCGATCGGACAATTCAAAGACGAATGAGATATGAATGAGACAGAAAGAGGGACGACCAAGCGCTGGGGGATTGGAATGGAATCGGATCAAGATGCTTCAGGTGTTCATGGAAACTAAGATGAAGAGTTGAACAAACGGGGCCCGGTCAGATGAAGAACAATCACGATTTGAGTGATTGATTTTGAATAACCGTAGAAAAAACCGGTAGATGAGTTGCATAATCCATGCATAGAGAAGCAGCAGATGGAAGCCAACTCCGACCTTGATTCTGTTGCCAATCTATCCTGCTTCATCAGACAGTTCCCGTCAAATTGTGTGGAAATAAAGGCAAAAACTTTGTCTTTTTGGAGTGACTACGTAAACGAACAAACCCTCGATGGGTTAACCTAACCAGAGATTTTTTCCTATTTCGCCTGTTCGCCCCGAGCAATTGGCAATTTGTTTGTAAACGTTTCATCACCAACAGCCGAGGTGACATCATCAGTGCTTGTGAATAGGCCACTTCGCAAGCACTGATGATGTCATCCAAGGATAGAACGAACAAAATCAGAAGTGAGGATATGAAAACCGGTAGCGAAGTTGCACAGAAAAGGGCATGTGAATCGGAAATGTGCTCGAGACAACGTACTGTTGATCGTCCGGTGAAAATTC